AATGCAGGGTCCAGGGAGACTGGATATAGTGACTGCAGGGTCCGGGGAGAGCGGATATAGTGAATGCAGGGTCCGGGGAGACCAGATATAGTGAATGCAGGGTCCGGGGAGACCGGATATAGTGACTGAAGGGTCCGGGGAGACCGGATATAGTGACTGCAGGGTCCGGGGAGAGCGGATATATAGTGAATGCAGAGTCCGGGGAGAGCGGATATAGTGAATGCAGGGTCCGGGGAGAGCGGATATAGTGAATGCAGGGTCCGGGGAGACCGGATATAGTGACTGCAGGGTCCGGGGAGAGCGGATATAGTGAATGCAGGTCCGGGGAGAGCAGATATAGTGAATGCAGGGTCCGGGGAGCGGATATAGTGAATGCAGGGTCCAGGGAGACCGGATATAGTGAATGCAGGGTCCGTTGAGATTGGATATAGTGAATGGAGGGTCCGGGGAGACCGGATATAGTGAATGCAGGGTCCGGGGAGACCAGATGAAGTGAATGCAGGGTCCGGGGAGACCAGATATAGTGAATGCAGGGTCCGGGGAGACCAGATATAGTGAATGCAGGGTCCGGGGAGACCGGATATACTTAAAGCAGCGTCCGGGGAGACTGAATAGTGAATGCAGCGCCTGGTAAACTGGATATAGTGAATGAGTGAATGCAGGGTCCGGGGAGAGCAGATATAGTGAATGAGTGAATGCAGAGTCCGGGGAGAGCAGATATAGTGAATGAGTGAATGCAGGGTCCGGGGAGAGCAGATATAGTGAATGCAGGGTCCGGGGAGAGCAGATATAGTGAATGCAGGGTCCGGGGAGACCAGATATAGTGCATGAGTGAATGCAGGGTCCGGGAGAGCAGATATAGTGAATGCAGGGTCCGGGGGAGAGCGGATATAGTGAATGAGTGAATGCAGGGTCCGGGGAGAGCAGATATAGTGAATGCAGCGTCCGGGAGACTGGATATAGTGAATGAGTGAATGCAGGGTCCAGGGAGAGCAGATATAGTGAATGCAGGGTCCGGGGAGACCGGATATAGTGAATGCAGGGTCCGGGGAGACCGGATATAGTGAATGCAGGGTTCGGGGAGAGCGGATATAGTGAATGCAGGGTCCGGGGAGACCGGATATAGTGAATGCAGGGTCCGGGGAGACCGGATATAGTGAATGCAGGGTCTGGGGAGACCAGATCTAGTGAATACAGGGTCCGGGAAGACCAGATATAGTGAATGCAGGGTCCAGGAGACCGGATCTAGTGAATGCAGGGTCCGGGGAGACCAGATATAGTGAATGCAGGGTCCAAGGAGACCAGATATAGTGAATGCAGGCTCCTGGGTTTTAGTAACACTAACATAAGAACCCCGTAGTGGTTCGCATGCATGGGGTGCGATTATGTTGCAGTGCAGAAATTGCACAGAAACTAGTTCGAATTCCGCACTGCATCATTGTGAACCTGGTCTTAATCTAACTGAAGTTTTCTTTTTTCTTTTCAATTGGAGGCAGAAAAAAAAAGTCACACACCCTTAAAGCATCATTTTTGCTGCGCAGTGTACATGAAGCCCCAATAAGAGATCCTTTTTCTTGGATTCTGTATTTCCATGGAAGGAAGCAGGCAAAGCCCTTGTACAGATACTGGAAGCGCCTGCTCTGTGCCAGGTCCTGCTGACAGCCGTGCTCCTCGAAGCCGCTTGTACAATACGGGAGATTGCCGCCTTCCGTCGTCGTTGCAGGCATAAAGGAAGCGTCTTGCTGGGATTTTTATTTCAGCAAAAGCTAATTCGGGGCCATCGTTTTCATTTGAAGAATATTTTCCTTGGCAGATGTGGAAGCCAAACGATGAGCCGCAACTGTTGGCTTCATTGTTGTTTAATACGGTGAGGCTGGAGTTTTCGCTTCTTCATTATCTGCTCTATGAATCTGCTTTAGCTCGGTAATAAAAAAACACATCTGTGTCTGGGAGCCCCTTATGTTCTGCTGCTTAATATTCCGCCGACGGCGCACGTGTTGCTTGAGTTTAGTAACCGGCAGAGGGGCTGCGATCTGGATTACCGAAAGCTGAACCCCAGCCTTCCCTTCAGTCTTGCACACTTGTACAAGTTCCTTTCCTGGACTTAAATTGCTTTCTCTGATTTTACTGCACACTGTGAGCTTTTCACAATGTGCATTAGAAGCTACATCAATCAGATATACAGTTGCAAGAAAAAGTATGTGAACCCCTTGGGATTACGTGGAGTTTTGCATGAATTGGGCATAAAATGTGCTCTGAACGTCATCTAAGTCACAACAATAGAAGAACACAGTCTGCTGAACATAATACTACACAAAACATTAGATGTTGCCATGGTTTAATTGCACATAACATGTAAACATTCACAGTGCAGGGAGGAAAAAGTATGTGAGGCCCTAGCTTAATGACTTCTCCCAGAGCTAATTGGAGCCAGGAGTGAGCCAACCTTGACTCCAATCAGTGTGATGATATTGGATGTGTTGCTGACAGCTGTCCTGCCCTTAAAAAACACACACCTTTTTGGGTTTACTGGTTTCAAGAAGCACTGTCTGATGTGAACCATGCCTCGCAGAAAAGAGCTCTCAGAAGACCTACGATCAAGAATTGTTGACTTGCATGAAGCTGGAAAGGGTTACAAAAGTATCTCCAAAAGCCTTGATGTTCATGTGTCCACGGTAAGACAGACTGTCTACAAATGGAGAAAGTTTAGCACTGTTGCTACTCTCCCTAGGCGTGGTCGTCCTGTAAAAATTACTGCAAGATCACAGCGCAGAATGCTGCATGAGGTAAAGAAGAATCCCAGAGTGTCAGCTAAAGACCTACAGAAATCTCTGGCACAAGCTAACATTTTTGTTGACACATCTACAATAAGGAAAACATTAAACAAGAATGGAGTACATGGGAGGACACCACGGAGGAAGCCATTGCTGTCCAAAAAGAATATTGCAGCACGTTTGAAGTTTGCAAAAGAGCACCTGGATGTTCCACAGCACTACTGGCAAAATATACTGTGGACAGATGAAACCAAGATTGAGTTGTTTGGGAAGAACACACAACACTATGTGTGGAGAAAAAAAGGCACAGCACACCAACATCAAAACCTCATCCCCACTGTAAAACATGGCGGAGGGAGCATCATGGTTTGGGGCTGCTTTGCTGCCTCAGGGCCTGGACGGATTGTTGTCATTGATGGGAAAATGAATTCCAGAGTTTATCAAGACATTTTGCAGGAAAACGTACGACCATCTGTCCGCCAACTGAAGCTCCGCAGAGGATGGGTGATGCAACAGGACAATGACCCAAAGCATACAAGTAATTCAACAAAACAATGGCTGCAACAGCACAGAATACGCCTTCTGGAGTGGCCCAGTCAGAGTCCTGACCTCAACCCGATTGAAATGCTGTGGCATGACCTTAAGAGAGCGATTCACACCAGACATCCCAAGAATATTGCTACACTGAAACAGTTTTGTGAAGAGGAGTGGTCCAAAATGACTCCAGATCGTTGTGCAGGTCTGATCTGCAACTACAGGAAACGTTTGGTTGAGGTTATTGCTGCCAAAGGAGGGTCAACCAGTTATTAAGTCCAAAGGTTCACATACTTTTTCCTCCCTGCATTGTGAATGTTTACATGTTATGTGCAATTAAACCATGGCAACATCTAATGTTTGTGTAGTATTATGTTATGCAGACTGTGTTCTTCTATTGTTGTGACTTAGATGACGTTCAGAGCACATTTTATGCCCAATTCATGCAAAACTCCACGTAATCCAAAGGGGTTCACATACTTTTTCTTGCAACTGTAGCCTGCCTCATTTCCTGGCTGGAGGACATCCAGCATTATCTAGCTCTTTCCTCTCCATCCTGACTGTTCTTGGCTCGCCCCTTTAATTAGTTGGATTTCAGTTCTTTCAATTGTGGAGGCTCATCATCACATGTGGGCATTACCTATTTCCAGAAGCTATGTGCAGCCCTCCCACCAGTCATGATTTGCTGGCATTGCCTAGAGAAGCACCGAGACCCAGTGATGACATCAATAGGTCTAAAATGAGGTATGTCATGAAAACGGAAATTTAATAATTTTTTTATTTCAGGTACTTATATAGCACCATCAATTTACGCAGCGCTTCACATCAGTCCCTAACCCTCAAGGGGCGTACAATCTAAAGTCCCTAACTCACATTCATACATACACATACTAGGGACAATTTAGACAGGAGCCAATTAACCTACCAGCATGTCTTTGGAGCGTGGCAGGAAACTGGAGTACCCTGGAGGAAACCCACGCAGGCACAGGGAGAACATGCAAACTCCATGCAGGTGGTGCTGTGGTTGGGATTTGAACCAATAACCCAAGTACTGCCAGGCAGAAGTGCTAACCATTTAGCCACTGTGCTGCAAATTCCATTAGCATGTTGATGAGGAGGGAGGGTGACCAAGGAAGAAAAAATATAAACAGACTAAAATTTAGCTTTACATCAAATATATTTTAATATGTGAAGTCTTTGCATGATTAGTAATGTGTCAGGTATGTATTACCTCTCACAGAGTACTTCCCCTAACAATGCCTTCATCTGCTTTTCTTTCCAGAAGGATGGAAAGGCATCACCCATGGTCCCTGTTTATCTCCTGGACTGATATGCTGGCTCGGAGAGGATAGAGTCATGTCAATTCTGGTGCCTGTACAGTTCTTGACTGTGTTCACAAATGTCTAACACAGACCAGCCCCTGCTGAAGCTTCTCACCTTCAAACTTGCTAAAAAGTTACAATGTTGCAGTCTGATCACTAGGGGAGACTGAGGAAATGCTTCCTCCTGCCTGCAGCAAACTGATGCTATCATCGTATCCTAAATAAAGTCACCAGACTGGAGCTCAAGAAAGGTTTTGTAAATGATAAAAGATGGAGCTTTTTGGAAAAATAATACAGATGGCAGTACAGACAGCTACTCTTTCTCTCCGGTGACAGTTCCATACTGCCTAGACAAGAGCCATTTACTCACCTTTCTCTGTAGGTACATAGAAGGCCCCTCTGTTGGACACATCAGATCCTGACCCCTGGCACCCGGCAGGGGAGGTGCAAATCTTTCCATGTACGGGGTTCTTGTGCACCAAAGTGAAGTAAAGTTTCCTGAGGAGGAAAGAAAGCAAAAGGAGAACATTTTACATTGTGATCACATATATAATCCATTGATTACCGCGTAAAAAAATTGGATTTGAAATAACCTGCTTTATTACTTGTAGTATTGGTCCCCTAGAATGGTAATAGACCCACCACAATGTGCTGCATACCCACACAAACAGAGAAATATTCAACTGAAATGACCCAACAAGCACCCTAAACTGCCATCTTCATAAACGCTGAAGGACTCCTAATTCTGAAGGACTCTTTAAGGACAAGGAAAGGACTCTTCCAAAGTACTACCATTTCCAAAATGACCCTAAAGTTGGGCCGCAGCAACACTACACCACCTGGAGGACCCCTCTGCATTGCAGTGCTGAGGCTAGCCATACACATAGATTTCTCTTGTTGAGCCTGTAGACTGAGTGTGAGAAATCTAATAGATTCCTTCATCCATGCCTCGGGCTGTTAGAATAACAGTGATTACATTTGATTGGATGCAGTCACTATTTGGATGACAATTTTCCACCCAGCTTCTGAGACAAAAGTTGAATGAACCAGCTATAGTAGGAATGGGCCAAAATTTGAGTTGTGTATGGCAAGCTTTGCTGAGTACCTTGGGAGGGACCAAAGAACATCCACAATAACATGTCCCTATACCACCAGATGAGTCCCTCTTCTTGTAAATTACCTTAACAATTATCTCTCTTTCAGAGCTCACCTTCCTACTAACCTTCCATGAAATAAATTATCCCACTCAAATGTTGAGGGCAAACAGGACAACCTATTTGTAGAACCAGTTCACTCCTAACTTACTGCCCTCTCTTGTCCAGCCACCCTTGCCCTACATCTACACTTCTGGTATGATGGTCAGCATCCAATCAGTTCAGGCCTTCCTTTTAGTCTATTCCCTTCCTTCCTCACATTTTCTTCATGCTTTTAGACCCACATCCACCTTTCTCCAACTGCAGTCATGAAGTGCCACTGCTCAAGAGCTTTTTGGAACACCAGAGAAGACTTGGTAAGTTGACTCCAGTGTTAGACTGACTCCAGCCTGGAGTGTGATCATACCTAGTCACCTTAATTTACTTGGCAAGGTTTAGTGAAGTGAATACATTTTTAAAATGCAGATTTAGGGATAGGGGGTCCTAGTGAGATGAAACAAAAGATAGGATCCAGCCATGATGGTCCTTGTTAAAGTGATTCTAAACCCTTGTTTTTTTTTAATAACAACCATGCCATACTTACCTGCTCTGTGCAATGGTTTGGCACAGAGCAGCTCCGATCCTCCTCTACTGGGGTACCCCGCTGGTGCTCCTGGCTCCTCCTCTTCAGCAAATGCCTACATAGCAAGCCACTTGCTATGGGGGCACTCGTACTGGCTTGATCCATAGACACACACAGCTCGGCCCTGCCTTGTGCTCCCTCTTCACATGATTGGATTGACAGCAGTAGGAGCCAATTGCTCCCACTGCTGCCTCTCTGTCCTATGAGGAGAGAGTAGAGAGAGCCGCTGCTCTCAGGCACAGATCTGGATCAAGATCAGGCTCAGGTAGGTATTTGGAGGGGCTGGTGGGATCCTGATTAGTTTTTTTTACCCTAACGCAGAGACTGCATTAGGGTAAAAAAAAAAAACGAAGTCTTTAGAGCTACATTAAGGCACTTTCTGTTATAGTGTGACAACAATCTATACCTGTCTCCCAATTGTGCACCTGCATTGTCACCCTTCAGATGGAGGCTACAAGTGGCTTCTTAAGTTAAACAAGCATGATCCATTGTTGTCACCATCAGGAAACCTGTCCTGAGAATTGCCACGCAGCCATTACTTGTAGTCATGTAGACAGGAAGTGGCCTCCAAGTGATTGTTCACAAGTGCTGCTACGGGACAGTAAAATTAGGCAGTTGAGCCCTAGTATTGCCATCCCCAGATTGCCCACCTGAACAAGGGCATCCAATTTTGTTTTAAATAAGACCGCTTTGCTTGAGTAAGGGGTGGAACACTGAAAAGCATTGCATCAATGAATTCAAGAAGTAGTCTCATCTGAGAAGACTCAAGCTGCCAGGATGCCACACGTGCAGGGGCGGACTGACCATTTGGAAAGTCTGGCACTGCCCGAGGGCCGGTGGTCAGTAGGGGGCCCCATAAGATGCCCCTGGTAACTTTTTCATAGGCTTTTTTGAGTTTGGGCAAGGACACAGGGGCCCCATGATCCCCTATTGCCCGGGGGCCCCATGAGTTGTCAGTCCACCCCTGCACACGTGTCTTACCCACTTGGACTTTATGGATCATGGAACTCACTAGGCTACAGGTCATTTGTTTAGTGCTCTACTCTTAGTATACATTAATATGTGACCACCATCTGTCATTTCAAGACAAGACAAGCAAATACAGAACTTCTGAACCTTCTGCTTTGTAGTCCTCACTCATGGGGGCGGTCCCTAGACCAGGCTGGAAGGTTGACTGGTGTAGAGCGGAGCTGCTGGTCACAAGGGGCCAGAATTAGCAAAGCAGATGATGTTATTGGGCAGAATGGTCAACATATATCTAAAGAAGCACGGTGCTCCAACACAAGGCAATATTCATAACCCATCTGGAAAACGTGCCTTCAGCTAAGAGCTTTTTCTCCTGCCGAAGTTTAGCTTTAATATCAGCAAACCATAGCAGAAGGGAAATCTAAACAAATCTTTGAGGTAATTGAGTACATCATCTTCTTTTAATTATAAACCACTTGCAACTTTTAGCAAAAGCTCTTTATCCTGAAATGGCAATTTGATGCGTGGAGCGCATTAGGGGATATTTTACAGGAAACTCTGTTTTTTGTTTAATGTTAATGAAAGACACAGATGTGATCGAATTCCGAGCAGGACTATCAAAATCTAAATGAACGTTTCTTCCTACTTTCTACTTTGTCATTTCTAAAGCGGCAAAGTGCCCATGAATGTTTTATCAATCCTGCATTAAATATTCCACTCGAAAGACTCTCAAAGCTGGAAAAACAAGATTTCTCTCTCCAATACAGAAATGAAAAGCAAGGAGCATTAGATGTGTCCTCTTGAACTCTCCGATGCTTGGGCTGACCTTCTGAAATGACCCCTGTCTTTCATGCTGGTATAGGATGTAATAGTACCAGTTCATTAAATGTCTTATCGAGAAAATTATTGCAGGGAATATGAGTAATGCAGAATAAAAAACTGTGTGCAGTGCTGTAAACAAATTTTCTGTTTATGCAGCACTGAAGAAAATGGAACAAATGTTTCAAATGTACATGTCCACTTTATTCTTTACAAAAAGTGGGAGATTAACCTCCCTGGCGGTATGATTCTTTCCAATTTTTTGTGCTGAAAGCGGTACCATTTTTTTGCATGGAAATATGTAGTTTTTTTATTGTAGGCTGTAATTTTTAGGAATAACTCACTGAAATCTGCCCGAACAAGAGTCTAGTAAACATCCCGGGTATGATAAAATTTGAAACACAAAATCATAAATTATAATTTAATAAATAATCATAAAAAATAATCATATAATAATAATACATTTAATTCAATAATATAATCAAACCAAAAACACTGAAATTTGAAATACAGAGGCAAATTCGCACATCACTGAGCAAAGTCGCAGAATCGTTTTCAGTGTCTGATGACGAATTTCCCCACAAATCATTATCACTCAATTCTGCAAGTGGTTCTGATTTACTATCGCTGTTCTAAAACCGCTTTTGACGTAAAGGGATGCTTTTTGGACGCCATGGACTTTTCTAAGTTTCCAGGCAGAAAGAACATTCAAAATGCAGGCAGGGCGCAGGACAAAGCAGTAGGGACAAAATATATGTGAAATGCATTGAAACAGCAATGACAGCAAAAATGACATTTTTAAAAAATTTCAAATTTGCCGCCGGTTCCGGCGCCCGTACGTCCCGACATCACAGGGACCGGAACACAGAAGCCTGATGCCGGCATCGGCCGGAGGAGATGGCCGGGGACGCTGCAGGGGACACATCGCGGGAGCGAAGGACAAGGTAAGTGCTGCAGGGACCCCTGAGCAACGCCGCATGGTAAGCCCGAGTGTAGCTCGGGGTTACCGCTCTTGGTATAGAAATTTTATCCCGAGCTACACTCGGGATTACTGCTAAGGAGGTTAAAACCCCCTTCAACACTAATTTGCACTGCAGGTGCAAAGAGATGCTTTGAAACCCCAGGAGTATCAGCACAATGGCTGCAGTCCCCACAGTTTACATTAGTCCCGAGAAAGGGAGAGCCCCCTTCCTCCAAAACGCATCAGTTATTTTTGAGGTCTTACACTAATAAAGTGATTATTGTTTTGGAACTGGCTGACAATTCTAGGACCTTTATGTCACTAGCACACCAAGGATTTCCAGAAAGGGTCCAAATCTTTTTTCAGCAATCACATCATGGTTACAAAAATTATGTTTCAGAGCCTTGCAGACAATGCTGGGACAAGGTGAACCAGTGCCCAGGGCAAAGATGCCAAGCTGCACCCCCCCCCCCAAAAAAAAGCAATCCCTAGTCATGATGAGGAAGCTTAGGGGATCCTATGACCAGCAGTCACTTGCGTGTTAAAATCACTGTGCAGCTCCTGATCATGTCATTCAGGTTGTGCACAGTTTTAACACTGGGCACATGCTTGTGTTGATATCTCTTACATTTTTAATTTTAATTTAATTTGCAACAATTTGTGAGGCTAAATTCACACTAAGTGCAACAGGACTGTGTTGGGTGGCTATTTCAAGGCAGTCTTACCACAAGACAAGGTAAAATTCCTTGCCTCCAATATGGCTGGTTCACACCACCATGTTGTGATGGTGTGCGCTGAAAAAAGTATTGCATGCGCCACTTTTTTCAGTGCAGTGCGAGGCAATCTACTGCCTTGCATTGTGCTGCTGCCAATAGAACTAAATGAAATGTCATTGTGTGACATTTTTATAAAATTTGTCAGCTTCTGAATACAGGTGCATTGCACTGGAAGCAAGGAGAAGGGGGAGAGAGAACAC